TGTAATAGTTTCATCGTAAGCAACTATTTCAAGATTTCTGATTCTCATTTCTATAATTCTTTGTTTTTCTCTGGACATTTCTTCTCGTTCTTTAATCTTTTCTCCTAAATAAATAATTTCTTGCTTGGCTTTTGCTTCTTCTCTAACCTTTTCTTCTAAATTGTTAATAATGGCTTTAGTTTTTCTTCTTCTCGCTCTCTGACCTTTTCTTCTAAACATTTGAATTGTGAACGTAATCCTTCGTTACTTTGCTTTAACTCCTTAATTCTCGTTTCCAAATCTTTTAAGGATTTTTCTAAATTGTTTTTTAAAACCATTTTTTTATTTAAATTGTTTCGGATGGTTAGGTTATTTCAAAGAGTTTTTGCAAATTCACCACAGCCCTCGGTTTAAATTTTTTTCCTACTGTAAATATTTTCCATAAATAAACTAGTCTTATAAATGGATCTAATTAAGGTGAAATACAAGCATTCGGCTAGAATTAATTGTGGCGCACAAGTGACGGATAGGACATGACGCGGAGGGATGTGACACTGATGACGAAATATATCACGTGAAATTTCGTGAGATTAAATTGTTACAGCGTCGAATTAATTTTTTATCGAGCTATTCATACTAACAGATATTGGAATTATATTCTAAATTTCTAGGGAAAATAATTATGAATCATTTACAACAAAGATACTAGAAATATACTTGGATATGTTTCATTAAAATTGGCAGTCAAATGGCGAGTTTAAAATCATCAAGATTACTTTTATGATTTCTTAATACATTTTTTCAGTAAAAGGATATAATGATTATATAGAGCAAATCTAGGTAAAGTTAGTAAGTTCCTTGCGGTACCTAATGAGATTTTTTAATGGTAAATACTTTGACGTATGTTTTGAAAGCTGACGACATCAATTTCGCAACTTCGCAATTATTTACTTAATCAATGCAGCCTTTGAAAACTTAATATTATGCGCTCCACCTCTGGTGTGGTAACATATAACTCAGTCAGACCTCTGCGTACGTTAAAGTAATATGAGCGCAACGTATTGAGAAAAAGAGCATATAAGGCTCTTTCAACCTTTTGATTAATTCAAGGAGTCCATCTGAAAATGGAGATCACATAAGATAAGTTTATCCCTTGTCCATACTTACCGTGAATACAAAATCAGTTGAATAGTCTTTTCCAAATTATCAATGTCACTTATAATATCTATCGCTTCATAAACAACATATGAATTTGATTGTTTATCTTTTCCTTTTTTTTTTTTTAATTTATCGAATCCGTTGAATGTATCCGATGATCTATAGCAAATAACAAAGATCTCTTTTTCAAACGTTGTCAAAATTTTTTTGATTTCAAAAATATACCACAAAAAACTTTCCATATTTTGATATAAAAAAAATAAATTACATTAAATAAATTTATATTACATTTTCAATTTATATTATTGACAAAATCGATTTGTTGTTTTGGGTGGTAATTAATAGTTATTTGGCATGAAGTGACGAATAACTATTAAAACAAATTGATTCCCAACATTATTAGCTACCTATAGTTATTCGGCTCGAAGTGCCGGATAAGTGATTTATCCGGTGTCCCGTGATTAAGTATATCACAAGAGTAGCATATAATAGCGCCCTTATTTGTTTTTTCATTAGGATGTTTAAAGGTTTCTAATAAGTTTGTACCATTCTATAGTTCTAATCATTCAGGTCGTGATACAGCAATTCAGTCAATATTTGATTCTGGAAATGAAGAAGTTAAAGAAATGGCAATTTCAGGTCACAGTTCATCAGCTGGAATGCATCATTATCTTAAAATAACAAAGGAAAAATTCTTATTTCAGTTATGCAAAGATTAACTGAAACTGTAGAGTTGATATTTTTAATAAAGATGATGCATTACAGGACAGTGTATTTTTACATTTTTATTTTAACGATATTATTATATTAATTTAAATTGTATAGTAATCCAATGGTTTTAGTAAGGCTTCGCAACTATTAAATAAAAAATTGAAAGGCCATTGACAAGAAATTTCAACTTCCGAATTAAATGCAAATAATAGAAAATTAAAATTATACAAATTGTTTTATTGAATCAACCAGTTCTTAATGCAATTTTATAATACAAATAATGCTTGATAAAAGTTATTAATGCATAATAATAATTTTTTTGCTTGATAAATGATTTTTTGCCCGATAATAAAAATTAAATAGCTATTTATTACTTATCATTTAATAAATTAAATTCAAATTATAAGAATCGAACATCACTATAAAATTTATTGCGGTCATAAATTTTTGAATTCCGATATAGGCCTAACAGTCTGAAAAAAATGTAAATCATGAAAATATGGCTAATGGATGAATTGATGACTGACACCTCAGAAAACATCTTTTTCATTTTCAACATGTGTAGCAAAGGTAAAGATGTCGACTTACTAATAACAGTTATTGTGTCGTAAAGGCACTATTGCTATCCTATCATAAAAAAATTATTAAAAAATCTTGCTGAATGTACATACATTAGGTGAGGTGTATTAGAGGTCATTATTTGTAAAATCAATTTTTGAAACGAAATCTTTTTTTAAAAGCATCTTTTTCCTCTAATTATTAAAAAGAATAGTTTTTAATATATATATTAAAAAGTTTTAGTCTGAATATGTTGAATTTATTTAAACGAATTTACGAATTTGTTTTATTTAACCCATTGTTAATTTTTTTTTTATACCATTTTCTTTAATTTCTAAATGAAATCAATAATCACAACTTCTTATATGTAAACGCGTTGTATCTAAAGTAAACTTTTGATATAATAATTCTGATGATAAAGCTATAACCGAGGACGAATCTTCTCTTCTGGAATGTTGAATGAGTTAAAATAATACTATAAAGAAAAACCTGTGTGTAATTTAGAAACTTTTAGAAAGTGAACAAATAACTTTTTTTTTATAAGACTTTTCATTACCAGTGATTATTATTACTGTTTTAACTTTGTTGTAAAATTATAGAAATTATGAGGAAGTTAAAGAAATCAATTAATAATTTTTTTTTTTTTATTGTCGTCGTTTCATTTCGATCAATTATTATTTTCCTCCTTGATTAATAAAATTCAAAGTATTTATTTATATAAGGAATATTTTCACACATTCTTCAAGTTAAGGTAGTCTAGAAATATAATGTTAGAAAGTTGTATGTGATGTGCAAAAATTTCGACGAAAAATAATTAGAAAAGAACTTTTGTCAAACTCATCGGACGGTCAATAATAAATTAAACATATGACGACCATTTGGTTTTTTCTTTTAATTTTTACAGTTTCTGAGTAATTAATTTTATTTTCTTATCATTTCTTTTGAATGTTCAATTTATGAATTTCTTAATGCTAAATATGCTCTCCGTTGACGCCTATTTGAAAAACTTCAACACTTTTATCAAAACCGTCGGTGAAATTTCAGAAATGTCATTTTCTCAATTGTTCATAGAAATGAACCCGGGTATGCTACGAAATCTCGAAATCCAAAATCTCGAAAAGTCAAAACCTCGAAACTCTAAATCCCGAAAAGTCCAAAATCTCGAATTCCAAAATCTCGAAATTCAAAATCCCGAATGGTCATGAAATTACTTTGAATTAGCAATATATTTCGCGGGTGAGGCTCAGGTTATCTGAAAATAATCCTGCTGAAATTTTTTTTCATTTATTTGTATAAGCAAAACTCCCTCCGATTGAAAAATTTTTTCATTTATTGTATAAGTAAATATTAAACCATTAATAAGATGATTGCGACTTTAACGACTTTGTAATGAAAAAAATTTTAATAAAATTATGTTAATAATTTTGGTAATGTCATGCCGTAGTATATGCCTTAATCAGAAAGCAAGCTTAGTTATAAATGGAAAATTTTTAAAGGAAAATTCGGGATTTTTTACCATTCGATATTTTGGATTTCGAGATTTTGGACGGCACCCAATTAACCCATTTAATGGTCTATCTGTCATACCCAAAGTTGCACAGAAAAAGTTTGTCCTAGACATAAATTCAATTATGGAAATGTGGACATTAAATGGCTAAACACTCTATTTATTTTTAGGTATACGTTCATATGTGAGGATTGGATTCGATTTAAAAAGTGGATTCGATTTTAGAAGCGATTAATCGTTTATCGAGTTTCAATTTAAGATTCGATTTCTTAATCGATTTTATTTTTGGAGCAGCAATTTTTTTTTTGATCAAAATTTATACGCAAGACTTTCATCAAAAATTTATGGTTAAAAATGTATTATCAAAAAAAAAAAAAAAAAAAAAATATTAAAATTATTTGCCAAAGTTTTTTTTTTGAATTTATGGTTCTTACTTTTCAGGTTCGATTGCTTCTGACTGCAACGATCGAATGATCTTTTTTAGTGTATTTTATTTTATTTTATTTTATTTTTTTGCTTTTAGGTTCCTAAGTGCGATCACATTGGAATTAATTTGCTAGGAACTTTTATTGATTAAATTGGTTTTTATTTTTATTTTTATTTTTCTTTTACATATTTTTTTTTATTTTTTACTTTTGCTTTTATGCTTATTAAATCTCTCCTTTCGAGTTCGATTATTGATTATTTCCATTGTGTCACTCGATTGATTACAGTAGGGTTTCTCGACTTTTTATTCGATTTTGATTTTGGTAGAATCGATTCCAATTCCCACATATATCAAAATTAATTGTTTAGCTTTTGTGGTTGGATTATGTAATCATTTAACGTATGAAAATTTTTTTAATGTCTTAACGTTATTTTTTTTTTTTTAATCATATAAAGTATCATTAATTTATTAAATAAATATTTATGTAATTGATCAAATAATAATATAGGTACATATAACGAAGAAGGGGATGTATAAAATAGATACATTGGATAAATTTATAAATACACCTGTAGTTCTTCCGAAAATTTTATATAATGAAATGGAAAGTATAATCTCTGTTAGAATTGCTTTATAACTTGTTATTAATTAATAAATATAATTAAAATAAAATAAGAAAAGTCTTACTGTACCAAATCCACTATCTTAGCCTGAAAAGAATTACAAGCCTTACCATGAAAAAGAAAATAATTAATTACAAGAAATAATAAAAATACTACCATATAATTTTCCAAAAGTTTTTATCTCAGTAACCCCCTAAACCGAAAAAAGAAACTGTAGCACTAAAAATCAATACTCTGCAACCCAGACTGATTTTATAATCAAAAAAAAAAAAATTATACAGTATATAACATATTACGACCAAAAACAAACAAAAAAATTATCCTTTATTGATCATTCAAAAAAATAATATGGGAGGTTAGCTATTAAATTATCCAATTCGCTACGAAATCATTAAAAACATGTAAATTGAAGAATACAAATGTCACAACATAAAAAACGAAGAGGTTTCCAACAAAATCCTTCCAAAATATAAAATATTCTTCCATGGTGGTTGTTTTCTTATTTTTTGCAATTTTGCTAAATGAATGATCAATGCTTTCCCAACATTTAAAGGGATAATTAGAATAAATGCTGCATTTATAAATATAAAAATAATTTAAATCAGCTATAAATTATTCAAATAAATTCTACGTAATTCCATTTTATAGTATAAAGATAAAAATAAAATTTAAGTTAATGTTTTCTAATAAGCTAAAATATATTACTATTAACGGTCGGTCAACCGGTCAGTTAAAATAAGTCAGTCAACCGATCAGTCAAAGGCCTTTGACCGACCGCTGACCATCCATTACCTCTTTAATAAGATCAATAAATCTGTTGTACCTTTTCTTTTTCCTTTTGTCAATGTGGATATGTTCCAGAAGCTATTAGGAACATCGGCTTATATAACCATTTAAATGAATTTAATAGGTACATGTATCTGGCTAAGCCTCATCTGACTAAATTTATATATACGATATTATACTTACATTCTTACTTTTCAAGAGTCGGTGGGAAACGTCATGAACTTCTTGAGACATATCTACATCACTATATCGTCATTAATCTTAACATTTTGTAGAATGCATAATGGGCATCCATATTATCAACGTGGTCATAGTTATCAACTAATAAATTTTTATAACTCATTTTCATACATTATATAAGGAATTTGAGACTGATACCGAGTGAGCACGAAAATTACTGAAAAATCAAATTAAAAAAATCTGTAAAAATTTATAAGTAGTTAAAATAAATTTGTTAAAAATTGTAAGGATCAAATTTACCTTCCGATATTTTTATCGTTCAAGAAAAGACTCGTTATCTTGTTGCTCAAGTCACAAACTAATGTGATTTTAATAGCTTTCTTATTGTATTTTTCAATTTTTCATAATTTGGTATACTTCAGTAAGAGGAGTTGGTAAGAGGAGTTGCTATGGGACACTTTCTAAAATCTTCAAATTTAAAGACTAATTCATTTAAAATTTAAGTCCCAAGCGTTACAACAGCCGAAACCATTTATGATCCTTTATTGCCTGGCATCAGTGAGTAAACGAGATGAGTCAGTATGGAATATCCCACAGAATGATATCGACCCACCCGGAAGAACACATGATGGAAAAAATCATTTTTCGTGAGAACATTTCTTGAGAGTTTTAAATAAGATTTGCAAATCTCTTCCTGTTTATACAACCACAAAATTAGTAGTCATTGCAACCATTTTTTATTGTTCTACATAATTATTAAATTCATTGTTTCCTTTAAATATTTTAATATTTTATACTTCTTGTCGTTTAAAGAATAACAATAATATTATTATTCCATAAATGAAAGTGGAAGGTTACATAAAAATAACTCATTCCGCAGCAAATGTATTAGCATTAATTGTTATTTGTGATTTTATTTTAGTTCATAGAAATATCGTATAACAATTAGCATAAAAAATATAAGAAATCTATGATTAAATCTATTACTCTATATTTTCAAGAAAAAAATTATTAATAAATAATGTAAATAAGTAATTTTAATCATAGATCTCTTATATTTTTTTTAATGCTGTATGAATTCATTAGTAAGTTGTAAATCAATAAATCAAATGGGAATTAGTACGACATTTCTGTGAACTAAAATCATTACGAACTTCATTTATTATATAATCATTATTGTTGACAATTCCTTTTATTTCAAAGAAATATATTTTTTACGATTTTCAAATCATTTGTTCCCGTCATCAACCACCCTATTTTTAAAGAATTTATTTACTTCTCGTATTTAGAAAATTAATTGTAAAATTCCGAATAGCCTTATTGCCACGTTTTTAGTCAAAATTTTCTTATATTCCATCGAGGATGAAATAAATAATAAATCTAATTCTTATAATTATACTTTCGCATAATAAATCGCGTTTGTGAATTAGAGTAAGCCGTAGTAATTAAGAAGAATATCTTAAAAAAAGATTCATTGTTGAAGAAAATAACCTATGTTAATTTACAAGACATATAATGGCTGGATGTGATGCTGTACGTTGCTGAAAAGGATTTGTTGACAGTTGCTGCTAATTAAAAAAATTAGCACGTGACCTATCTCGGACCTTACAACTATTTAAGAAAGAATAAAAAAGACAATATTAGTACAATTTTCATTCATTATAAAAAAATCTAACTCTATTAAATAATAAAGTTGAGCAGAATTTTTTTGCAAATATGATTGTCGCACAAACCCGTGCTCCATTAATCGGGAAGATGAGCTAATGAAATGAACTTCCACAATAAACTACAATCAGGCAGGGTCGTTTGTGAAGCGAATGGCGTAGAAACAAGCTGGTGGAGTTTTATAAACCGCTTACACATCTCGCAGTTTATCTTTATTATAAAAATTATAAAGAAAATACAATTAGTAATAGTTGCCGATGTCATTATTCTTCCTTTAATTCGCAATGAACTGATCATTCCTTAACTTAACTGAAGTAATCAACTTCGATGAGTGTGTTCTAATGTGTATCATCATATACTGTATATCTTCTCTATATGCTCTTCCTATATACCTTTTTAACATAATTAATCATAAAAAAATTCGAGTCGAAAAATATAAAATTTTCGTAAATTTCTTGTTCAATTATCAAGTCATGAATAGTGCTCCGAGCCGGTCGAGTCAACCCGGGTTGTTCGACCCGACTCGAATTTTCTCGAGTCGGGTTTATCATTTTTATGACACGAGTCCTAATTCGATAAAACCCGTCGGGTCAGGGTCACGTTTTTCCTTGACCCGGTGTTATAAGTAATCGGCAAATTACGAATGGCGCAGAAACTGCGGAAAATATTAAAAAAATATCAAAAATAATTATTTAATTGTTATTTTTAGTTAGTTGTTATTTTTACTTTATTCGATTAATTATTTCTATTATACTGTATTTGTTATATTTATTTTATTTGGAAAAAGTTAGTATTTAGAATTTTTATATAAAATCCGCCTTTGATTAAAGAATAGGATTGAGGATGAAACCTCCGAAATCTTGAAATTTAATAAAAATTCTACCTTTACCCTTTCAAAACTTTATCGTGTCTCCATATATAATAACTAACTACACACAAGAATCGTAATAATAAATAAATCTTTCTTAAACGGGCCTGAGTTTAGATTTAAATCCTTTGTTGGTTAATCTGGTTTCGGTTCAAAAAGCTGGGGTTAACACAAGTCTTTTTTTTTATTTAAACTGGACCGGCCTGTCCAACGCCGAAAATAATGCTACGCGTATGGTTCGTGAATCCTAGATTGAGAGAAGCAAACCTTAAGAACACATAATCATCATAACTATGGAATTTCCCTAAAACTAACTTAATCTTTAAGGGCCAGGTATTCAATCTA